CATTTTTTATTGATATCGATCACGTGTCTATCGCGATACATATCGTAATCGTTTTATCGCCCAGCCCTACTATTCAGCATTAGTTGCTTCATGGCCCAGGGATTCAGGACACTCAAGCTGCTCTGGCTTCTGGCTCCTTCAGCTCCTCATAGCGCCTCATCTGCTCATTTAGGATGAGCTCCAAACACCTGCGTCTATGGTGAAGATGGAAAGGCACTGACTTGGTGGGGGATCGACGCAGCCTGCAGCCTTTTGGAGGAACAAACCTGGAAGCCTTGGTGGTCTGTTCCAGAAGGACAGGCGAGGTGCTCACATAGCAGCCTTCTTCATGCCATTCGTGACTTCATGGGAATTCCCAGCGTTAGGACTGCGCAGGATGCAGGGGGCGAAGACGATGGCCAGTGAGAGCGTGGACATGCGATTGTGGGCTTCCTCAATGGCCACCCTGGGAAGCAGAAGACTGTCAGTGCTCGAGGAAGGCATATGTAGAGCATATGTAGAGCACATGTAGAGCCTAGCTTCACAATTCTGTGTGATGGGGTCCAGTGCATTGTCAAGGACATCTGGGAAGTGAGCAAGGGATGCCATCCCACCTGACCATGTGGAAGATCAGCCTCTCCAGTCATGGCGTGCAGGAGGGCGCTGTAATGCATAAATGTCATAAGACTTTCAGGCAGCTTCTGTAGCCACTCTTTAATCAGGCCAGTGACGGTGTGGATGGTGTGGTCCTCTAGACACAATGCCTGGGGGTCTAGATGATGCACAGGATTGTTATAGATACAGAAATGGGCACTGCAGTTCTGAGAGGATCTTCCCAGAAAGAGGACCAGTGCCCACTGGCTCATCCTTCTCCAGCTGCTGCCGTAGCTTACGCGGTTGACAGCACCAAACTTGCAATAGAATCCCTCTGTGCAGAAGCCATTCAGCTCCACGTTCTCCAGCAGCCACTGCAGGATGATGGACAGTCTTTGGTCCTTGTTGGTCATACAGTGAGGATCCACACCAAAGACCTGGGAGCTGCAGGCCTCGACATCAACACCACAACAGCGGTGCTTCAAGATGATGTAATGCGATTGGAGGATGCCCTGGGACCGACCCATACATGGGCTTTCTTAAGGACTCACCCTTCCCGGGTGGAGCAGTGCTTGATGATTCTCGAAATGCATCTTTTGTGACACACCATTTTGCAGGCTGCGAAAAAATAAATAACTACTGTAACGAAGAATCAGAACGCAAAGTGGTGATGCTCTGCCAGGTGATGCTCACAGCTGCACATGTAGGCCTTGCCTCAGATGTAGGACGTGCACTGGTCACATGGTTGCCAGGTGATCAGTCGATGGCTGCTGAACGCCTGGTCCAGTGTATGCTTTGTCTGCACAGCAATAACAAAGTAAGGCTCCCTGTGAATGAGATCCAGGGGCTCCTAGTCTCCAGTGCAAATTGAGAGGTTCAGCTGAGATATACTCTGAGAGCTGTCCTTCTCCCGCCTGCTCTTCTTCTTCACAGGCTGTAATACACAAAGATGCAAGTGTAGTCTAAGTCATATGTGTGAAGCATGTGACTCAGACTCACGTATGCCTGCTAGGTACCATCGTCCTGCAAATCTCAATAAAGATGGTGTCCCTTTGTCCCTTTGTCCAAAATCTGGGCTGCTTTAACCGGATGCTTCTTCAGAGTGTTCCTGAATAAGCCGGACATGGTCCAAGAGCCACAGGAGGACGCTGTTAAACCCATTGTACAACACCAAGAGTACTGGAGCGACGTAGTCTGGAACCTAGTTTCGACAACAAGAGAAAACCATCAATGATAATTCTGAATCACAAGATTTTAAAAACAAATCTGAGAAAAGATTCTACAGTGGCATGTCCTACATTTTAGAATCCCAACTGGCTTGCCCTTGGTTGTACTGAAGTCTTGACAAAAGGAAGCTTGCTGATTTTTCTCCAAAAACAAAAGTATATCACAAAAAGTTTGGAACACTTTTTATGACGAATTAAAATGTAAATGAAATAAAATATGAAATAAATGATGAAAATATTAAATGTGAAATGACTAATTTAAACTTTGTACAGGAGCTGGAATAATTGAATGTTAGTGTCTATTTCCGCATGCTTGTAATATGATTATCGTGACATTTCTTTATTTCTTGATTGCTGGTACCTGATGCACCATGAAATAATTAAATCTGTTCGTGGACATAATCTATCATCTGATTGGTTATATTGCACTGAAAGTAATGACAAATCAATACAGCTCTTCTGGTCGATGTCTGAACGAGAGAGACGCATGAACTCCGTCCATTTCAATGGGCCATTTTTTTTTTTTACACCAATGAGAGATCGTAGAGCCTCTCAGTAGTTCTGGAGTTGCAGCAGAACAAGCCATTTGTGATGCACCTTAAAAGCGTAAGACATTTTAAAAAATCAGATTGTATGTCATCAGCACATCAGAATGCTATTTCATCCAGCATTATAGAATTACAGAAAAAAGGCTTCTAATCCTGTTTTTCCTTTTTTGCATGGTGGCGGGGGCTAAATATTAAACAGAATATTGTAGCATGTGATCTTAACTCCCTAGGTTTCGCAAGCTTGTCCCTGTTCCTTACTTTTAATAAACCGAACATTAAACTCCCCAGTGGTATGGCTGTTTAGAGGTAACTTTTAAAGTTTACCTGAACAGTCTCTTTACTCAGATGACACTTCTGACCAGACGGTATACGGCGTCCCAATTTTATTCTGTTCATTCTGCTTTCCGATTAATTTGTATTGGCGAAAGAAGGTTGCGTATTGTTTGCAGTAATTGACCTTTATTTTGATATGCCATATCAGTTTACATTAAATTTACAATCTACTTATTTCGATATGATGCATATGCTTTGTATTGTGGGATAGGGACGTGCGCAAGCTTTAAGTTTTCCTGTATCATACTTTTCTTACGTCTTCGAAAGCAACGGCTGTAACCTTTTTACTTGTTCCATATTTCAGTTAATATGTATAAGTAACTTATTTATTTTCCAGACGCTGTTTTAGTTCAGCAATGTGCAAAAAGACGCTAACGGTGTTTCACTGGATTGCAGTGATGCTAATTTGCGATACATGCCTATATATGTTAGCCTATCTTTTATTTGTAATTCCGTTGATAATTAACATTTGCACTTACCGGCCAGCTTGTTGTAGGCTACCTTTGCTGTGCTAGATGAGAGATCCCCTAAGAATTTTCTGTGTTTGGTTTAGTACAGTTTCACTCATAGATTTTCACCTGTCACATACGGAGAAAACTCGTAGCGGGAACAGGGGTGAAATCCCGCTTATTCTAGCGTCATCAAAGATAACCAATCAGGAACTGAGAATTTAGTTCCATATCCGTTTCGATCAAATTCGCTTTGGTTTTAGTCAAACTCTCACACATACAGCTATTCTCATTCACAGCTTACCATTCTGTGTTACATTTACTATCATTTTGTTCCTTACACATGATTATTTGAATTCACGTGTACTCTATTTGTTTAGCATATGGTGTTATTTGGTTTCAAATATAATGTTGTCTCATACATACAGTACAGTATATTAGACCAGGGGTGGCCAGTCTTATCCACGTGTATGCAGGTTTTCACTGCAACTCCCTTATTAGATTACTAATTAGAGGACTGATTGGCTGAAGAGTTGAACAGCTGACCTAAAGGTTACCCCAAAAACATGCGTACACACCTTTGCTGATAAGATTGGCCACTCCTGTATTAGACCTTTGTTTTGCTGACATTAACTTACCATACTTGCATACATATATACATTATTACCCATACTTACATATATTACTAACCTTTGTTACACATTCTATCATGCAGTTAACAGGGCTGTGTGTATGAAAGTATGATAGTAATAGAGAGTATGATTGTTTATATAAGAAGGTATAGTATTTGTAGTGTTTGTGTAGTATACTGTATATAGTGTTTGTGTAAGAGTATAGTGGTGTATGTATGAAAGGTGTCGTAGTGTTTGTATTAGTTTTGTATTGTGGTTTGTGTGAGATTGTGATGCTGTGTGTGAGACCAAGTATGAATTATTCCTCTCGTACATTTTTGTTTCGTTATCTGGATGTATGTAAGCCTTAGTTGTTAGAATATGATAGCCATTTCGCTGTTGGCTATATACGGCAGATATTAGATAACAGTAGTGTCCAATGCATTATTATTTAAGCTCACCTATTTGTCTGGAGTTTTGATGCTTCTTTATAAACAGAATGGCACCCTGTCCTTCGCTCAATAATATCTAGTGCCTGGTGAGCCACATCCCCCCCTTCCCATTTGTGACCCCAAAAAAGTATTAAAAATACGTATGAAGTTTGAAGTTTACCGGAGAGCCTTCATCATTTAACGTTTTTTTCATGTGTACATCAGTGAAGGAGTGCACGGAAGTTTAAAACAGGGGAAAGAACCTCAAGGTTTGTTTTTTATCAGTAGTATTCATCTTAATCATTAATAGAAAACATAATTTTGTTTTTTGGGTCAGCCAGATGGTGGCGAGGCTTGGAGATTAATCGCGCTATCGGGCGCATTAATACAGAGGCGCTTTAGCGGGGGAGCAGCGAGCGGAGGTGAGCGCATGTTGCCGCTTGCTTGTGGTCCGGAGAAGATGCGGATCTCACGCTGCCACTGTCTCAGTAGACGGGAGGACAAACGGGCGCTCTATCCTTCTCCGGATACCAGAGCCCCGACTTGGTTAGGATGCCGTAGTCCTCTTCACACTGTTACTTTTCAATCCAGAGAGAAATATAACCCAGTCACCGCCCCCCTTCACTGTGGCCCCTTCAATACGAGTATGCAAAATCAATGTCAAGTCCATTAAATGTATTTTTTTTTTTTTTTTTTAAAAACGAAATAAGGAAATGAACCAAGGAAGCATTCAAATTTTAATACGTAGCTTAAATGAAGCGGAACCCCGTTAAAGACTTATAAAGTAAAGAGATGTTAATTTATCCCATAAAAGAAGGAATGGCATTGAATGAATCTGCAAACTGCAAATTTATCAGATGTTTGCGGAGGGTTAAATAAGGTAACTGCTATGAAAGCTTGAGATTTTGCCTGTTTGCCAGCACACCTGTTCTGTGTGTTTTTTTATGCAAATCCCGAACGTCATAATCGTACACGTACGCATATCTTCTGTGATGACAATGTCCTCCTCGAGGTTAAGATTTCATAAGGTTCTCCACATCAGGAGGATGTTAGAGGACTAATCCTTCTACCTGATAAGTTGTTCCAGAACGTTCCGCTGGTTGTGGTAATTCCCGCTGTACATGATGAAAATTAAACGCAGGCTGCAGTTTGTGTGGTCAGGAATGTACGACTCGTGGCACATTATTCTTGGACCACTAGACTTAAAGTGATTCCCTGTCCAGCTTAACCCTCTGCTGAACATGGATAAGAACGAAATTGCGTTTCATTAAAACCTACTATTTATTATCACCAGTGTAAACTCATTGTAAACCTTTGGAAACATTATAAACATCCCCAAGATACCCAGTTATTGTGTGCTGATGTAAAATCGCTTTGCTTGTAATTTTAACATAATTATAGATATACTGTACATACTATACCGTCCAGTATAAGGTGACGTATGGTACATTACAGATAATGTAAACTGCTGACATGCAGCGGCTCTGATTCAAATGGCAGTTCTGTAAAGTAATAGACATTTTTACACTATTTTTCGACATATAAGGTCTATAGAATTAGAGAAACTTTTTTGACAAATAATAGCTTTAAGAATCCTCCAGTGTACTTATTATTTATTTTAATTTTTTTTGTAGCACTCATTATTTCAATATTTCAAACATTTTCAATGTATAATTTGTCAGCATACAATACATAAGGATCCCACGGATTCAGAGGTAATCTCAGGAAACACCCCCACAATTGAGAGAAGAAGTAGCAGTGGACCAGCTTTCCCACAATAATTAATTTTGTTTACATAATACTCATTAATTTCTGTAAGAATGAGGTTAGCATGCCCAGCGGTGCTGGACATACAGAAGGAGTGGAGCCCTAGAGATTTTAAATGCCTTTCATGCTGTTCTAGTGGTATGTAGTTTCCTCATTTTCACATAGATTTTCAATATTTCAATAAGTTTAACCAAACTACCATCTCTGACTGTTTGCATTCTGCTTGGTAATTAATTTATCAGCCGCTTTTATTCAATGCAACTGACAGTAAACGTAAGGGTTACAGTCCACATGACTAGTGTAATGTTGTACTGTACTTGTTGCGTTTCAACAGCTATACATCAAGCTATAGGAGCTACTGTATAACATTGCTATGCAGCACTATACTATACTATACTATACTATACTATACTATACTATACTACCGAGGGCATAACTGGGCTCAGCATTAGGGGGGTGTTGAGGTCTCCACTCATTGAAATTGGTTCAGGGGGTTGTATTGGCTGGTTTTGATTATTGGGGGGGTTACAACCCCCCCCCCATCCCCCCATCATATATGCCCATGTATGTTATACTATACTGTACTATACTATACTATGCTATACTGTATTATTCAGAAGCTATATTTTAGTATCTATGGGGAAATTTGAGCAGGGCATGTTACCACTCAGAAGGGATGACTTTATCACATGTGTTCTGTCACAGAGCTCGGCCTACATTTTAGATCCACATCAAACATGAGCATAAAAAGGTGTCTGCATACTTGTGTATAGGGACGTCGTCCGATCACAGTGACCGGCAATGCGAAACAGAAGATAGGGACTGATTTACGGAGTCCGCCGCACTTCACAAAACACAAGAATGTAAACGGCGTCCGAGTAGAGCGGGCGGATCAAAGGTGAGTGGCTCACGGTAGAGCGTCCTCAAGCGCGGCCGTGTTTATGATGAAAGGGGATCTGTGAATCTATGCACAGGATGAAAAAAAAAAATAAAAAATCAAAATAAAGGGGAAGGGAGAGGGAAGGGAGGGCTGTACGATTGTCTAAGGACAAAAAAGAAAATGAGCAAAGACCAGCTTCAAAGTTAGTCTTCCATTTTTATAATGGCGCTATGGATCTCAGTACAATCCCGGCAGGAGATGAAAGGACATGGAAGGAAAAGGGGCACCTGAGAAGCTGAAGTAGCTGGAGAGCATCTCGTACAGCCCCCGTTGATTATGTGAAGGTCCAGGGCTTCTGTGGTGTGTTTCCACCACACTCAAAGCTCTATTCAAAGAAATTTGCTTTTAAAAGTGACCTTTAACCTTTGAAGTGCACACAAAGCACATCACTCTT